GCGGGGAATAGAAATTGTCGAAATGAACTACCTACAGTCTTTATGCTTATTTGTGTGCTCTTAGCCGTTTTGGCGTGTTAATATAGGTTTTAACTGCATCCATTAGAACAGACGGCCTTACCTTTCGCGGCCACTGGCAACCTCACGTTTGAGCTGAGGTCAACAAGTTGTGGCGCATTCTTCATGATTTGGCGAGACCTTCAATACGCGATCGTTGTTTTTTCTCATACGGCGTCTGGAAGTCGGAGGGGATCCCAGGGGGAAGTTACTTTCCCCCGGCCGGGCGCGGTCGTCTCAGACCCCCGGCCGGGCGCGGTCGTCTCAGACCCCCGGCCGGGCGCAGTCGTCTCAGACCCCCGGCCGGGCGCGGTCGTCTCAGACCCCCGGCCGGGCGCGGTCGTCTCAGACCCCGGCCGGGCGCGGTCGTCTCAGACCCCCGGCCGGGCGCGGTCGTTTCAGACCCCCGGCCGGGCGCGCGTTAAGCTTAACAGCGGGTATACGTGCGCTTTGGAAGTAGAACAGGCCTCTTATGTCAATGCATCCGAATGGTTTTCAAAACGTTGCCCCAGTTTTGTGGAAGTGCGATGGGGTGTTGGGTCGTAAGGGACGTTTCAGGTGCAGGATTCGAGCTGCACCTGAGCCCCAAATTGCGTCTCCTTAGGCACAAGATCAAAACAAATATCGAACCCCATTAGACGAAATTCGTTACGAGGAGCACGTATAAGCATGAGCGTAATCGTCTTTGGGGTGGGTTAGCTTCTGACACCGGCATCTGTTTGGCACACTGGGATATTTTTGTTTTTGATAGCACGAAGTGGGGAAAAACAGAAATGAACCCAGTCAGGGATGTGATTTCCTGTTCAGTTGAGGCAGGGTACTCCAGCCCCTTGCACCAACTTCAACTCCAGCCCCCCCCCCCCCTCCCAACTTTGAGAGGAAAGGGGAATGAATCGAGAGAGACACACCGTTTGATTACGCATTTTGAGGTAGGTTTTTCATTTTTCACCACCCAATGTCTTCCCCCTCCCTCCCCCGTTCAACCCAACAGCACCACCCACTCTCATCCCACTTGCTTTCTCGCTACACTACGCCCCTGATCCCAGTCATGATTTAACGTGGTTACGTTCATGAGTACCAATTGCGCAGTTTTAGGCGTCGAAACCTCAATGTCGTTAACGCATGTAGCTCCACTTCTGCACGTTTCCGCCCATTCTATTCCAATTCCATTCCGCATGGCGCCGGTACGGGCCTCAATCTCCGCAAGAGGTTCAAGGTCAGTCCGAGGACGGAACATAGGCATGACAGGGCAGGAAGGCGCGATAACCTAGGCACCGTAAACAGACGCAGCCGGGGAGCCGGACGGGGCGCACGCGAAGTGGGAGAGCGCGAGGCTGCTGCTATCGGAACTGTCCAAGGTAAACAGGCCAGCCTCAGGCTGCCTCAGCAGCAGCTAATGCGATAATGTCAGTTACGTCTCAGCTTCAGTTGACGCCGTTTTTGAACGCAATCATGAGCAAGCCATGCATCGCGCATCATGATGCTTTAGCGCTCGGTATTTGTTTGGCAATGACCGTACGTTACACCGCTGGCGATCAGCACTGCCGACGCCACAGCACAGCACAGCACAGCACTTGAGAATGCAAGCGTTTGGATTCGGTGGTTATGTTCGTCATTGGCAGAACAAAGGAGGGATACAAAATTGAAGCCGAAGGCGGCATACGATTGGTCGCTTAGCCGGCTCACGAAGGTAACTCACTCATACGATATCAATACCGTAAAATGCTCGCAGGATGGGAGGGCAGTGGTCTGGTTCGAGGGGTGTAGGTCCAAGGCTTCAGTTTCTGCCGCCTACTAGACTAAACAAACTTGTTGCTAGCTGTGCGACCGAAAGACAAAGCCGGCATTTTCGAGGTAAAATTGCACATATAGCCAAAGTGAAGTTATGTATGCACGCTTGAATGATTTACGAGGCTCTTTATGTATCTTGCGTTGCCTCAAAAACATGTATCATGGGTAGTTTAGTTGATATAGAGTTTCATATAGGTAACACAGGTGAGTAAAATTCCATAAACGGGGGTCGATCCACGTTGGAACACATCGACAAATGCATGAGAGCGTGAGTGTTACAGTGAGTTGAACCGGACCCCCGCAACCTCAGGAACGGTCGGGAAAACTTTGAGCTGCTGTATACCGTAACGTTCGTTGAAGGTCAGACCATGAATCTCGCGTCAAGCTACTATCTCGATTGTGAGAGAATCCAATTCGAGGTAATACGATGGACAGGCTTTCATAAATGGAATGCCACCTTAGCGGGAATGTTTCACATTAGGGGGAATGTTCCACATTTAGAAATATTGAGGCAAGCATAAGGTGTGATGAAGAAAGCTCACTTAAAGTATCGGAATGTTGTTAGGCGCAAAAGGTTGCTCTAGAGAGACAAATATTTCCATTTGATAGGTGCGCTACTCAATACGTCATTGTTTGATTAGGTAATGGAACGTTCTTATGAAGTCAAAGCCGCTGCCAGACTTGCCGTGTCAGAACTGCCACTGAAGTGGACGGGCAACTTCCTCGTAGTACTTCAACTCACCGCTAGGTGGTTTGCTAAGTTGTGCGCGCGTGACAAGCCTGACGAACGTAATATGCGCGTATTTTGGTCTTTTCTCGTGGTGATCTTGTATTTTGTCCATGGTTTTATATTTTTACTTGTATTTATTTTCACTCCCAGCTATGACGCTTTTCTTAAAGGGAATGTTCCACATTTGCATGGGTTTTTGAACCAAAATAGCCATCTTGAAGATCATTCGTTGTTTCATGCTTGAAATCGTCACTGTACAACAAATATTGGTTGTGACCATTTGTAAACATGCAGAAACATTTTCCTACACAATATGAACCTGTTATTTGCATGTGAAAGATCGTAGCTTGAAGCCCGTGATCCAAAAATAACAAAGACGGCTATCAGCTTGGAAAGGATTAGAAGAAATGTCACAATACAGGCCTACGCTTTATTCGCGCTGTCCTCAGTTGGCTGCCGGCGCAGTATCTCCCAAGCGTCTCGTCGCATGGGCGGCGACAGGCGGCGGGAGGGGGGGGGGGGAGGCGGGCTTTTGTGACAGGGTGGTGACAAGTGGCAACAGTCGGCATCAGTAACAGCAATCGCTAAGTCCTGACCTAACTGTATCCTGAGTTGGATTCGCAGTATCCTGTACTTACCATGCGATCAATCAGTTCCGCCGTGTCAGGTCAAGCCTGCCCCCCCCCCCTTTTTGTCATCTTTTCGCCGCAAACCAGGTGAAAAACTTCTTGGTTTGCCCATGATCTTCTTAAAAAGATGGAGCAAAACAACTAAAACAAAGTGAAATACGAAGTAAAGCACAATAATATTTGCATTGGAAAGAAAATGAGCCCATTGTAAGACATCGCGTGCACGTGGAGGTGGACTCAGTGCACCTGTTAGTCTAACTCTCACTGAGCTCGCGGATGGAGTCCACAGATGCATCGAAATAAGACCTTGAGCCCAAAATAGCTCCCGAATGAAAACAAGCCCCTATAGCGACTAGGTAGGCCCCTTGGCTGAAGGCGTCCCTGAGCCCCGATTTGGCCCCTCCTTGAAGAAATCTTGGCTAGGCGACTGTGAACATGCACTGAGACCGATACGCCTCTGAACAATTGCTGAACACTTGACCACTTAAGAAAAGGTGTGCAAATTAAACACAGCCTTTTCTCACCATGGTTGTTCTAAGGCTATGTTTTTGCGCAACACGTGGCCTTAGGTAAACCACGCGGCCCAATTACGTAAGTTAAGTGCATTGCCAGGAGCATTACTGGCATAGATAAGACAGCAGTAATAGCTTATTCCTCGGAGCAAAGCCAGGAGAATGGAGACATACATACATTTATATTCCGTCAACATGCCTTTATCGAAACAATAGCAGAATAGTATTCAAAATTATCTGCTGACGATCCTACTCAATTTTTCAGGTTTTTTTTAACAGCGAGCAGCAGTTTTTAAACGACACCCAACATTCAGGCTAGGAAACACTCACTTACTTTTCTGGCAGGATCACCCAGACAGAAACATATGTGACTCTATTCCTATAAAAAGCCGGCGACCAAACCTTAAAGTACAAGGCTTATCATGGCCGATCATGCGAACGTGATATGTACATGATGTGTGAGGTGTGCTAGCTTAAAATCGTTTGCATGTGAAGTGATGCCTGACGGGTGATGTGCGATGCCTGTTTTATCGAAATCGGTTGCATGCATAATTGATGCGTGATGTGTGATGCCTGTTTACTTCAACTCGCTTGCATGTTTGGATGAATTGTGATGCATGATGCCTATTTGCTTGAAGTAGCTTGCATGTACACGTATTGTCGCGTATTCTAATTCTTAGTTAGACATGCACTGTATCATAGTAATGGCTGACAATGGCTCCTCGTTTAATGCCCTGAACGTTGGCGTCCCGTAAAAAACTGTGGCTCGCTGTTTCAGAAACAAACAAAAAAACTGAAAATCGAGTGGGATCGTCGGCAAGCAATTTTGACTTCACTTCTGCTATTGTTTTGATAAAGGCATGCTGCCGAAGTATCAACGCATCCATAGCACCATGCTCCTGGTTTTTCTTCGAGGAATAAGGCTATTACTACCGTCTCATCCATGCCACCCAAGCTACCATTCTGCCCCCTGTCACCTTCTGGACTATGTTAACACTGTCTCTTCGTTCGTGCTGCACAGTTTGATACTGTTTCAATTTACATTTCTGCCACTTCACAGGTAGTTGCATGTCCACTGATGCGGCCTTCCTGATGAATTGGGAACGGAAGACGATTATCTGCGCTTTCCATTCTCACAATTGTTCGACACGACACGACACAAGACAAATGTGACGCACAAACGGTGAACACTATGTTTCGTGGAAGGCTATTTTTACTCGGGTTCTCCAATTTTGATAGGCCACGATTGTCTGACTGCTTCGCAGCTTGGCGATATTGTTCTACTACTGCGTATAATTTCATCCACCCGCCGAGATTCGACCCAGGATGTTCGGAATCCTGTAAAATTGAAGAAGAAGATGCATGGAAGATGATGATGACGATGGAAGATGTAGGAGAAGATGAAATTGAAGAAACAGCCTTTTACGAACATAGCATTCCACAGTGGAGACACCCTTTCACATGCTGATAGCGTCAACAACAAAACAAGTTCATCAGTGCGTCGAACAAAATACTATTGATTGCTCTATGCGGCATGGCATTTGACAGCATGCTGCAGCTGTAAGTATCTCAAGAATGACTTGACATGCATTAGAAACACTATTTCACGGGCAGGCCAGGAGGAAATGCCGGAAGCGTGCTTCCGGCGTAAGGCGTCGTGGAAAACAAGAGTTTTTTAAACGGGCCATTCCAGGGAAAAAACAACCGAAGCGTGTTATCGCCGCTAGGCTCCCCGGTACGACTGGTGCGTTGCCACCATCGCTGGTCCGTGGCGGACACATTTTCGAACCGGTGCATTGTGACTTTCCTTCCATCCTGTCTAGTCACTGAGGACCCAGACAGAGGCTTTTAGAAGTCAATCCTATTTCTGCTTCATTTTCTAGTAAGTTTTTGGTCGTTTGGGCTTTACTACCACGCATTAACTATATATATATATATATATATATATATATATATATATATATATATATATATATATATTGTATGTGTGTGTGTCAAGTACATAATTAATGAGTGAATTCTTACGAGCAAACTGCTTGCGTATGACTCGGCTCAACGCAAATTATTATCCCTTCTTGCTGTATGATAATTCTGAACGAATACCAAATATCATGGTTCATATTCACGACAACTCATAGGCACACCTGACCTAAAATCCTGATCCATTAGCACGATCACTGATAATATATATATATATATATATATATATATATATATATATATATCCTTGTATCATGACTAATGATCAAGCAACTCACACCACTCGCTACATTGTACAGCCAGGGTGTCGTCCTTCTCAACATTGGCTAATGGTCACGGACTGTCTCCCAGCAGCAATGAGTACTCAGCTCAATGGGATCCAGTGGATGTTCAGCGCAAGTTTCACATGAAAAGCCACCATAAGCCACGAGCCTAAGCTTAAGGCCTTTCAATCTGTATGAGCGATGCGTCTCACTAAGGCGAAATGAATGTGTGGTTTGATGAACCTATGAGGTGTCAACCAGCGCGCCGCCATTTGCTGACTGGCTATGACTACCTCCAGTCTTTTGTTATAACCTGGTGTACGCATAGCACTGGTCCAACCCTACTTCTTACGCTTCTTTGGGTTTTCTCCGCTTCTTGCTTTTTTGTTTTCTGGAAATGTATGATTCTTTATTTCGCCGGTATGCAGGAAGGGGCACTCCTGGCCGCTTGTTCATGGACGATGGCTGAGAAATCAAATGTGGTCTACATAGACCGTAGCGCATAAGCATCGTTCAATCAAGTAATAAATGGCTGTCATGCCATCAGGGTGGGGGGGGGGTTCACCATTGCTGGTTCGAATTCGCGGGTTGCGTTTGCCTTCGGCCGTTTGGCCGGAGGAGATCAGAAACATGTTCACAAAATGAGTTGCAGGGCTAAGCAGTGAGAAATGACAGCACCCACCCCAAAATACGCTACCAAACGGGTTTCTCCCGGATTTGGCCAACTTTCCTCCTAAAGTTGGGGGAGGGGCTGGAGCCCGAGAGCCCAGAGCCCGGGGAAGGGGATGGGGCCTTCCCAACGAAATAGGAAACTACACCCCTGCCTCGGGCCTCTAACGTGCGTGCCCAGGTCAGTTGCATAGCCAAGAGGGAGGCTTTTGGGGTATTGGCTACCCCTTAAAGGTGGCGGGAACTCATGGTGTCAACGGTCCGTTTTTAGGCAGTTTAAGGCACCTGCAGGCAACACCCAAAAATGGATCCTAAAGGCGTCCAAATGGGGCCCCGAGTTTTAAAAGTTTCTCTGAATAAAAAGCAGGGTTCCCATAGCGACGCAGCCGTCTAAAAGTCTGCCATTGCTAAAACAGCCCACTTTGACCTGATCTGACCCCCCCCCCCCCCCGCCCTCCCGGGTGGAGTCCTGTCTACGCTACTGGTCCAGATTTGTAGGAATGTTGTCACAACAAAAGTGTCTCTTTTTAGTTGCAAGTGATCTTGATGGAACTCAGCAGTTTTTAATGATAAAACCTCACATTTGCGATGAGACCTAATATGTGACCTAACAAAATGTGGCGCTAGTTGTAAGATGTTCAGTTACGATTATATGTCGACGATCGCTAAAGTACAAATATGTTCCAGATGTCGTCAGCCGAGAAGATTCCATACCCATTCAAAATCATTCCGCTGGAAGACGAACTGCAAAAGAGGATTGCTAAGGACTTTGAGGGATATCCCAATGGACTGGTGTCAACCAACGACTGGGGCTTCAAGCTGTCTGGTACAATCAACGAAGCCCTGCTGGAGGACCTGTACAACTACCCGCTGGACCCGCGGGACGTCTGGGTGGTGACGCCACCCAAGTGTGGCACTACCTGGACCCAGGAGATGGTGTGGCTCATCGCCAACGATCTGGACTACGAGGGGGCCAAGACGCCCCTTATGCCCAACAGGTATAACTAGCTCGTGTCTGTGTTGCAGCCACCCGGGATGTTATTTCGTGCTCGTAGGGCCTGGACATTCTATGTAACGCTGCGCTATATCTCGCTATTCTACTCATACGTTGCACAGCAGCATAGCGCAGCTTAAACGTTCTGCATAGCGAGGTGACGTGCCGGCAATGGTACTCAGGGGAGCGGAAAAGAATTCCGCTGCACGACCTGGCTTTCGAAGCAGACAACGTTATAAAGCGTTTAGTATCAACACAATTAATTGCTAATACTTACATGATTGGTAGTTAAAGTTTACCGTGTGGTGGAAATAAGTACAAAGGAAAGAACGTTCTCGTTGATGTTTACAAATCTGGCCCGTTTTTGACGACGTTTACAAATATAATTTCCCACGATACTTTTCAAAACCCCATCGACTAATGGCATGTAAGTTAAACTCCACAAAGTTGGGCCGCATATGGGAAAGTGCGCTCATTACGCACGGTTTCTTGTTCCGCACGAACGCAAGAAAGCAGTTCACAGGCGATACTTCATGCCGACGGCGGCCAGCGGATCATGACACGTTAATTCATCTGCCTTTTCTCTCCCACGTGGACACCGCTGGGGTAGGGTATATATATATATAAGGTCTATATCAGCTGGAAACGAATGCCTTTGTTTGAAATAATGATTTATTTATATCCATTTAAAAAATACTTGACAAAATTTGCATGCCCCTAAATAGCAGGCTTTCCAACTTAGGTCAGAAATGATCCAGCTCTTCGGCTATCTTTTGGGACCAGAAAAGCCTGCTCTTCACGTCATTGAAGGCTATTATGACCTAGACTACGTCAGACACATGGTACGAATGTTAAATGTAACGTGTAAGTGATATGTTCTAAAATGCGTACATTCGTGCGCTTCCTAATCACGCACAGTCTTCCGTCAACGTGTGTGCCAGTGAGGACAGGGAGGGGGGAGGGGTGCACGGTATCAAATGAAATTGCTCCAGAAGAGGGGTAAGACGGACTCCCCCATTTTGACTAGGTGCTCCTTGTAGCCGTACTCACAGACACAACGGTTCTGGGTTTCGGCTGAACGGTTGATTGGTCGATAGAGGCAGGCAGATAGAGGCATAACAGAGGTTAATGGCAACTTTGACAACTCATTACCGGGCTTGGGCGTCATTGGGCTGTTTTCATTAGGAAGGACCGTTTTGACTTCAGTCATAAATGTAACCCAGTGACGATGATATGATGATTGACAATGCTTCCGACGTTATCCACCGACGATGATTCCGTAAATGATAAGCAGTAATCGCGTCAAAGCGTCACAGCTTGCAGTGCGGTGAACAGTCCCCGCCGCCTTCCAAATTACTCTTTAACTGCTGGCAACCGCCCGGGCACGCCTCCCCTTTAAGGTTGAATCAAGCTGCTCGCATTGCTGGAAATTCCGCGCGGAGAATTACGTGTTATCTCATGAATGGGGATCCCTATAGCGGTAGGTGCTTATACCCCGCCTGATTTGATTATTATTTCACTGTCTGGAGTGGGTTCAGATCACACGTAACGAGCTACGGTTAAAAACTTATTTGAACTCAAAGCCTTGTATTTAGGCATTCGAGATAACTTTGCTTAAAAAATGGAAGTGGGAGCAATGGGTGGCTTTGCTAGGCAGCAAGGGAACAGTAGAATCGTAGGCAGCGGTGTGAAAAGGTGTTGTTCACATTGGAAGGGAAGGCTGTAATTTAGATATATTAGGCAAGTATTAGGTGTGATGGAAAAGCTAACTTGAAGCTATTGGTGTCCTTTAAAACGCAAAACGTTGCTCTAAACATTATTATTTCATTATTAGTAAATATGCTCTTCGGCAGGTCATTGTTTGATTACGTCATGAAGCATTTTATACCGTCAGATTTGCTGCCAGACTTACAGCGTCAGAACTCCTACTGTAGCGGGCGGCGTGACTCACCTGTGGTACTTCTATGCGCCGCAAGGTGGCGTCGGTGGCCTATCTGTGAACGTTTTTGTTTCTTTCTGTATTTGAGTGTGTTTTGGTCATTGTCATGGTGTTTCGCGGTTTTCGTGATGTTAAACCTTTCCTTGTATAATTTTTCGTGAAGGCATATCCTTACTTGCACTTTCATTCCCAGTCGACGTACTTTTTTAGGTGATTCAATTAGCCTCATGTCCGTCATAACTAGATCTCCCCAAATGCCTGCATTATATATGGCAAAACACTTTTCATGATCGCTGAGGGCCATCAGCAGCTTGAACTGTCTGTTAGCCAAATACTGTTCTTGGAACACGTCGTTCGCATGGCGTTTCTGTGACCTCTTACATGTATGGGTGGCTTTGAAATAGGCGGCGCAAAAGCGTATATTGAAGCATTGGTTTAGCTAAGCAGAACCACCTGAACGTTCACCACGGGCTTGGTGCAAGCAATCTAAAACTACTCCCTGCCACACTACGGATGGGTTATGGACTACGCGCAAGCACTAAGCTACCAGCATGTCCGAGCAGTCAGATAGATCCGTCAAATCATCGCCGGCTCTCAGGCTGGGGAATGACCGAGTACAGGGGTGTGTTTCGCAAACTGATTTAGAAAGAGGGGTTTAAGAGTGGAAAATGACTCAACCTACCCGAAAAGAACGCCAACAAACGCCTGCCGCCCAAAGGTAAAACCACATTTGTTAATGTTGGCCATTTTGTGTTTTTTTAGCCATCCCATTCGTCTACTCATGCCGAATTCGGCTATTTAAACCATCTGTTTTACCTCAGGACGGCAGACGTGTTCCCCGCCGGATTTAGGTCTCTCAGTTCTCAAAGTTATGGGGCAGTTGGTAATGTGGCGTTTCATCTCAGATAGATGCTCTGATTTTCGTGCACTGAAGGGGTGCAGCCAGAGCTTTGACAACGGTTGGAGGAAGGGGGTGGTGACTGGTTTGCAAAGGACCCCCTGATCATGAAGCCCCCCTAACAAACAAATTGGGTCAAAAACACGTGGAGCATGGCCAGCTCATGTTTGTCTTGAAATGTTCAACATTCGGTCAGAATCGATAAATGAGAAAAATTATGCAGCGTAGTTTTGGGCATGGCGCTCGCAAATCTTGAGGAAAAACCTTTACACCCGGCGCTGCAGTCTCCGAGACCGCGCGGTATCGGCCCTGCCCCGACCCCGCGGCTAACATTTAGAAGAGGCCGGCGGGCGGACGGAAATGATTACGGGTCTGAAATTAGTCTTTAAACCCTTCAGGACGTCAATTCGTGGGTCTCGTAGGTCGTCGAGTCTATATTTCAACTGTGCAATTTTAAGTTTGATGATAGGAAGGCGCTAGCATTCACAGCATTGTGAAGTGGTGCTGGAATCAGGTAGCGGAATTGAAAGAGTAGAGAGAAAATCTATATTTTTCGTGTTGCTGTGTCAGTCTGTGCAGAGGACAGCCTAATGACTGTAAAAAAGGTGCGCTCCAGTCTAATTTTTAAACGGCGCGAGTTTATTTTGAAGTATTTTCGGAAGCACAATTTCACCAGTCCCCATTCAGCCTCCCACTCCACCCCAAGTTGGGTTCCAGCCCTACAATTTCGGGAAGAGAGAGGCCCCAATCCGGTGAGGTACCTTTCCTTCGTTGGCGTTTTTCGTGGAAGGCCGAGTCATTTCTCGTTGTTCCACCCTCCCAAACTATTTCCCAGTTTCCCATTCACCATTTCAGTCATTATCCAATTTGAGAGCCGATGATAATTTCAAGGATCTTTTGACAGATCGGACCTGCTGGTGGCTCCGCGGCTGCACATATTCCGCGACCCACTCGTAGTGTGGCAAACCGTATTTTATGTTGTTTGCAAGATAAAATTTGCCCGTGGTGCATTTTCAGGCGGCCGTGCTTTATTGAAGGGAGTGTCCGACCTTTGGGGCATATTTCAAAAAACATACCCTTGTGGTACCTCAAGACTAGTTACGTCTAAAAATAGCGCTTGTTAATGTCACTGCAGCATCGTCAAAACATAACAAGGACATCAAATTTAGTTATTTTAGAGTCAAAAAAAACGCTGTCAAGCTTTGTAACAGCACTACGCATCTTCCCTGCAATCGCAGCCACTATCGCCACGACAACCACCGTGCGCTCCTCCGTTGGTGTGAATAAAGAATGGTTGTGATTGGCCCAGCGGGCTAGGACCTGGTACCGAGAAGTGCATGAATTGAGGTTTGAACCATGCTCATGTGATATTCTCATTCCGAAAGCCGAAGTGCGCCTCGAAAAGAGCCACTGTGCCGAATGCCATAGAGGGGGAAATGGAAGCCATAGTATAACGTTTGGTTGGATTTGCGAGACAAAAGTCTTGCGCTCGCATATTTTTTGTCTAAAAAAGGTGTTTCAAGCTTACGTAGCATTGATTGCACAAACATGCTGACACATTAGTGTGTCGCAAACATTACAGCACGCATATGTTGGAAATGCACGGCAGATGAAACGCACTGCTTTCATATTGGTGAGCATTGAGTCAAATGAGATTTCTCCAGCGTAGCTGGCTACTTCAAATCGAAATTCTGAGGTTTCCAAGAAATTCCGAAGGATTCCGAGAAAACTGGCATTGCTGATCAAATCGTATCCGTGTGATGTAACAATAGCTGAAAAGTAGTGGGTACCCCCTTGTGGAATACTCCCTTCTGGGACTGGCGCTGGCTTTGCGGTTAGCCTTTTTATGATAGCTGCGCATTTCCATCGAACCATGACAGCAGTCTGAGCCGGACCGATCGCGAGGCGCGTCTCACGCATGTCAGTTTATATCCGCTGTATTTCTGTTTCAGATGGAGCTTCATTGACTTCCCTGCAATAGCGGACACAGAGTACATGACAAAGTTTGCGTCGACGCTGAACGCCCCTCCATTATCGGCCATGGCAGGAGACCCCAACCGCCCGTCCCCACGCTTCATCAAGTCGCATCTGCCCATGTGCATGAACAACCCGCGCCTTCTCGACGTCTGCAAGGTCGTCTACGTGGCCAGAAACCCAAAGGACGCCTGCGTCTCCTACTACAACCACAACAGACTAATCCGCTGTCATGAATACATGGGTGACCTGGAGGTACGCCTCCAACCTGGCTGCGTATATGTGGAGCATTTGGAACACTAGTTAATGTAAAATTGAAGGCATTCGGCGACGAGAGAATGCCAAAGATGCAGTGTCCCAGACCGCTGTTTGCATACTAAAATGCGTTTTTTTCACATCGCTGGTTGCATTACACAACTGGTTTCTTGGTGACGTAACAGAGGCAGGTAACAATCATACCACGATACACCAGTTATTATTTGCAAGCAGTTCTGGCTGTAAATGCGGCCAAAGATATCAATGACTGAGTCATATGAGCTAGCATGGATCCGAGTTACCCAAGTGTAATAGCATGGACTCCAGCATCTCTATGGATACCGTTAACAGTTTGTGGTACCCGTGCCTCTTTCGTTCTAGCTCTTCATGGAATACTTCATGAAAAGCAATATCGTGGAAACTCCATTCCTTGAACACATGATCGAAGCATGGAACTTGCGTCATCACCCCAACATGTGCTTTATCTTCTTCGAAGACATGAAGCGCGACCTGAAGTCAGAGATCCGCAAGGTGGCCAAATTCCTCGGCAAATCGTTCTCGGATGAGGAGATTGCGAAGCTGGCGAGCCATCTGCACATCGACAACTTCAAGAAGAACCCGTTCGTTAACTCCGAGTTCGGCAAGCAGATCGGCTTCATGCATCAGGACCGCGGGAACTTCATCCGGAAGGGCAAGACCGGCGACTGGAAGAACCACTTCACCCCGGAGATGAACGCCAAATTCGACCGCTGGATGGCCGACAAGATGAGGGGAACTGATCTGCGGTTCGTGCAGGAGCTGGACCGGCAGGACTGATGTCGGACGGCACCAGGTGCCGGCGATGGCTCGGGCGGAACCGCAGGCCCGGCCCGGTCAGGCGCCGTCCGTCAGCGCTGCAGAGGAGGCGCAGGTTAGACAACCATAGCAGCGTGTGACGCCAGCCGCAGTAGCGTGCGACGCCAGCCACGGCAGCGTGCGACGCCCGCCACGTTAGCGTGTGACGCAAGCCACGGTAACGTGTGACGCCAGCCACGGTAGCGTGCGACGCCAGCCACGGTAGCGTGACACCAGCCACAGTAGGTGACGCAAGCTACGATAGCGTGTCATGTGACCGAATGGTAACGTGCGCTTTTCCGCTGCTGGTACCAGTTTCGCAATATGAGTGGCTGCCCCGGGACAGCAATGTAGAGAACTCGCAGGCCCGTCCGAGCTGGAACGACGGCGAATCGCGAGACCAAATGAGAAAAACTGCGAACCAACAATACTGACGTGATTGGTCACTAACCAGGCGGAGTTCTGTCATCTCAATCCTCCTGTCGTAGTAGCACATAGGAAATAAATACGTAGTCAGGTATACAGTGTGAGACCGAAGGAGAAGAACATATCAGATATTCGAGAGGTCCTGTCGCCACTGCTGGATGATCCCATTTGCAGTGAGCTCAGCGCTGGGAATCTCACTAGTTCACAATAATGCAGATAATGACAGCGCAGCACGTGAGCCGCTTGAAATCGCTGGTATGGAATGTGCTGTATTGATGTTTAATGCTGATGCTCAGCTACTGCATCACTCACCAGTAGAAGCTGAGCATATGGGGCTGCCAGGGAGCTCCTAGATTGTTTAAATTGTTCTAAAAAAAATAGTTCGGAATCGCTGGCAGACAAGTTGCCACAGGATAATCGGTCACCACGCAAAGTGCAGACGCTTCGCAACTATTACTACGTACGACCGGGCGGTGCCCACACTTGACAATGTTCATCATGGGAGGCAATAAGGGCATGCGACTGGTAAACACTCAGTGCATACTAAAGCATATATATTTGGCGCACAGCAATAACGTGGCATGGCTTGTACTGTAACTCGCTGTAAAAATACGCGATGGGCGGAGCGCGACTGAGGCAACATGAACACACACCACAACGGCCCTTGTCGTGGCCAGTCTCAGCACAGCCGGGCGATCCGGCTGCAGTAACTGCAGCAGTGCAGTAGCCATCCGCGCAGCCGGGGATGATGTGACGGGTGCGGGCGCAGTGGCGGCGTGTAGCGCCCAGCCTACGGCCGCGGTCCGAGCAGAGGCGCGCTGGCGCCGCCCATCGCGCCTGTCAGGTTCAGCTCGGCCTGCGCCGTCTCCAGACCGGCCACCGAGCTCCCGTCCAGCTTTCCCGCAGCCGGAGGGTCGACACCACCGTCCGCCGCGAACGCGTAGCCAGCCGCGTCCACCAGGCCGCCGACGAACTCGTCCAGGACGTCTGCGGCGGCGCGCCCGGGCGTGCTGGGCCGCTGCTCGGCCTCGGCGACGGGCGCCGCGGCCACGCGCGGCCCCGCGTCCAGCACGACCGCCTCCGCCGGGCCGACCGTGGACTGGCCCGTGTCGGGCGTCGGCTGCGCGCTCGACCGCAGCGCGTACTCGCCGGTCGGGAGTCCCGTCAGAGCTGACTTGTCGGCGTCCATCTGAAAGCAAGCCCATTGAAGCCCATGAAGCCCATGAAAGCAAGCCCATGAAAGCAAGCCCGTCCGTCGGAAACTGCTCACCACACACTTGATTTGGCCAATGGCAGCCCATTTTTACGTTGAGCTTCCGCAGCGTACATACCGACCCCTGATGACGCTTAAGTCCATGTCGTGTTTGTAGCAGGACGGCACGCGTCAGGAGCGGGTGGCGACAGTTTGCACAAGTGCACGCCACAGCCGGTCTCACCGTCAGCAACAGTTTGCGCCGCTGTCACATAACAGCCGGCCTCACCGTCAGCGACAGTGCGCAGCTGTCGCATCACAGCCGGCCTCACCGTCAGCGACAGTTTGCGCCGCTGTCACATCACAGCCGGCCTCACCGTCAGCGACAGTTTGCGCCGCTGTCACATCACAGCCGGTCTCACCGTCAGCGACAGTGCGCAGCTGTCGCATCACAGCCGGCCCCACCGTCAGCGACAGTTTGCGCCGCGGTCACACCACAGCCGGCCTCACCGTCAACGACAGTGCGCAGCTGGCACGTCACAGCCGGCCTCACCGTCAGCAGGACGCCGCCGCTCTGCTGGCCGTCGGCGGCGCACAGCGCCGTCCGCACGTGCTCGCGGAACCTGGCCACCACGGCCAGCATGCTGTCACAGAGCCTCTCGATGCTGCCGCCAGACTGCACCGCCAGTGTGGCCAGCAGCTGGTCGGACGTCATCGGCGGTGTGTGCTCGTCGTCCTCCTGCAGGGGAGAGGAGAGGCGAGGCGGTTACGGCTTGACCACCGCTCAGCCACCAGCCACACCCAGTGGGTCGCTTGGCATAACGTTTTGTTCGAGCGTCCTTGCACAGAAGAACGCTTATGAATCAATGGCGGAAACAAAATGAGTTACGAAAGAAACCCACAAAATAAACCAGTCACGCCTGGCGCCGGTTAGAAGTCATAATTCGGCCAGCGTAAGAGAACCATTTTTTTCAATACTTCCAAGATGTACGTGACCGAAACTTCGGTATCATGTTCCTGACTACTGAGGACAAGTGCCCACTTCGCTCCGATTTCATTTACCTTTGGCTAGACAGTACAGCCAATGTCGAGGAAACGCCAAAGGAAAGCATGCGCGCCCAGCGCCTACACGGGCCAAGGCGCGGCAGGGGCGCTATGGCCGGCGGGGTGACGAACTCACCGGGTCCGGCTCCAGCCGGGGCCGCTTGGAAGGCGGCCGGAGCGGTGTGACGGTCGCCTTGTCGTCTGTCCGGCGCTGTCGGCCACCCCTTCTGCCTGCTGTCGCGGTCAACCCGGCGCCGACACCGGCTCGAGGTCAGACGGCCGCACCGAGGGTCAACACTGCACTGCTTAGCCGCAGCCTCACATGGAAGACGTCGAACGCCTCTAGCCTTGTCACACAACTGCTTAGGGCGAAACAGAGTTTAGATTCCAGCCTCCTGACAGTGCCATCATAACTCAGCAACCGATGTTACTGTGATAATAATCGATCCCAAAACCCAAACCCGAAGCCACCCATGTAAACCATCCAGAATCAATTTTAAATCCAACAGAAAGCATTCGCAGAGAAATGTACACAACGCATTTGTCCAGATGCCACACATCTTTCATGAGCATTGAAAGTATGTTTTGCGGCATTTTGCCACCACCCGTAGGCATCCAGAGGCCCCTTCGAGACGGAGTGACGGCGTTCAAACTGCATTTGATCCGGTTGAACTGGGATTGACTGCACAGGTGAGCCTGGTAGCGATGAGTGGATCACCGCGAGCAGGCACCAGCACGTGAGGGCGGTCCCGTCCCGTCCCGTCCCGTCCCGTCCCGTCCCGTCCCGTCCCGTCCCGTCCCGTCCCGTCCCGTCCTGTCCCGTCCCGTCCGGAGCACTACCTGACACGCCCCCGGCTGAGCTGGTCTAGCCGGCGCTCAGCCGGCGGCGCAGGACACGCTCGCCACACTCACGTGTTCTGGTCGGTGCCTTCTGGGCGGACTTCACTGGCGTGTACACTGCAGAACGGGCGCACTGGTTACTCCAGGCGGGCGCAGCGCAAGCCGTGAGTGGGAATACAGGTTATTCCAGGTCGGTGCAGCACTACCCATGACCGAGCTCCAGTACGGCACATCGTTTAATGTTTTGGTGGCGCGGTGAAATAAACATACTTTACTGAATTTACACATCCATAGAAGGGCATAACACGATTACTGCGTGGAGTGAATAGACTGTTCAGGCCAGACACCTTGACATGCCACGGACTCCTGATCATTTGTGAGAAAAATGTCCACGCCTTGCCAGACATCATAAAAACAGAACTATTTTGCAAACTCTTAAATCCTGATTGGACCAGGTCGCATCGGGAATGGTAGTACCCACGGATGCCTGCATGGCCAAATTTAGATACAAACAGGGTAACGGGAAGGCATGATGCCGAGACAAGCCGGCTTCGGAGGCTTTTCGGGACCCAAGTTCTTTACGGGCCTCAGACTAAACTGAGGTGAATTCTTTTCCGGATAAATCGTACTCAGGCTCTGATAAATATGCACTCCAACCCAGTGGATCACCAAAAACAGTGGACTCTGGTTCAGGCTGCGATGTGAATCAAGCAGAGACTCAAAGATTCTCAAAACCGGGAACGTGAACGCGAACTAGAAATTAAGCTCGAGCCTGAGCTCAAACTAAAAAAATCACCACTACTCAAGCTAATGCGACAGGTATACCGTATAGTGAGAGATTTTAACAGGATAAACCGACGACGCCAAAAGGGTGGCCTCGGCACTGCTGGCGCCAGCAGCTTCACTGACGGCGAGGCAACGTTGACTAGTGATTCAACGATACCAGGTGAACGGAGGGGCAGATGTCAAATTATCCCCACACCCCGGGATTTGGACTAACTTCCTGCGAAATCGCCGGTACATAGTGTAAACCCCCTTGCATCACGACACCCGCGGCACCCCTTGGCTAGGTCGTTGAGTTTCCATGGCTGTTTAACGCTCATACATCCCCCCATGTGCAGCGACATCGAACGTTTGCGATTCATTTGTAGTTCGTTATGCTTCGCTGTGCGACAAGACAGACAGCCGATGGGATTGGTATAGCACTGCCTCAGCCACACCAATGGTTCACAGCACAATGACACGCGGCGTGTCTTTATTATTTTCTGTGATTTCAGTGTATGCACAAACTGACAGCCCCTCCGTGGGGGAATGCTATATTCGTCGTTGCTCGGAAAACCTGAGCGGTATGCTTGCTACATGCTTTCGGAGGCTGGGCCTTTGTGTAACTCATTTCTTTCAAGGCAACTCAAAACCATAATTATCTTACATATGCACATGGCTTCTCATACAAAGGCATCTTACATATGCAGTTGGCTACGTCATATATGGTTTTTCCTACAGAGGTAAAAAATTCCTTCCTGCTTCGTGCTAAACCTCCCTGCTCCATCCCAATGACACCGTAACCGACATCGGCTTCAGACGGCCGTGGGTTCATATCGTGGTTCGTTACGAAGGCTGAGTCCGACGCATGCGCAAATTTCACAGCATCTGTGCAGTGATGTGTCCCTCCCTGGCTAAACCAATACTGACCGACAGATGGGCAGACAGACAAGAAGACATGTGATAGAGATAGTAACCGCAGACGATCGTTGTGAATACAGAACGTTTGATAAGTCCGCACGAGGTGGGTTCCGCAGGCCGCGTTACAATGGCTGATGGGGTAGGCTAGGTGCCGTTAGGACCTTCATCCGATACGGTAGCTATCCCTCATCCAATACATACTCATCCCTCATGCAATACAATACTACCGAATAGTACGCCAGAGTACGGAGCTGGCGAACTCGGCCACGGACTTGAGCTCAATATCCCAGGACGATGACCAATCTGTACGGAGCTGGCGAACTCGGCCATGGACTTGGGCTCAATACCCTAGGACAATGACCCATCTGCTGTGTAAAGGACAAACTCAGCGGCGGACGCGGACGCTAAGAAACCCGCCCTCCCAACTAGGACTCGCCTGCAGCGAAACCGATGAAATCGGACTATGACGTACGTGATGGACGGACTTGGGCGCGAATTCAAAACACCAGGATTCGGATGCCGCCTCGGACCCCGGTTTTTTAGCTTAGATTTATGTCAAACGCCAACACCAAAAAAACCGCGCTGCTCCAGCACACCCTCTCAGCTGAAGCAAACGCCACCTGGCCACCGCCAGCCGGCTGGAGGTGGGCGGCCGCGACGACCCCTGGCCGCCGCCTGGCCGTGTTCGGCCGGCGCCAGCCGTCTCACCGGGTCGCTCGTGGTCCGGGAACTTGCGGAAGTGGCCCTCCAGTCGGATGTAGCCGATGCAGAGCGCGCCGCAGGTGAGGCAGGTGAAGCGGTCCCGCATGGTCTGCGGCAGCTGCCGCTTGGGCTTCAGAGTCGACGCCGGCCGCTCCTCATCGCCCTCACCGGCTGCTGACCCGCCTGCCGACGGAGCGCAAGAGTCAGTCAGGTGTGCCCGAGGACGGGGATGGGACCGTGCCAGGTGCGTCTGAAGACGGGATGGGACCGTGCCAGGTGTGTCCGAGGACGGGGATAGGACCGTGCCAGGTGTGTCCGAGGACGGGGATAGGACCGTCCCAGGCGTGTTCGAAGACAGGGATGGGACCGTGCCAGGTGTGTCTGCGGACGGGGATAGGACCGTGCCAGGCGTGTTCGAAGACAGGGATGGGACCGTGCCAGGTGCGTCTAAAGACGGGATGGGACCGTGCCAGGTGTGTCCGAGGACGGGGATAGGACCGTGCCAGGTGTGTCCGAGGACGGGGATAGGACCGTCCCAGGCGTGTTCGAAGACAGGGATGGGACCGTGCCAGGTGTGTCTGCGGACGGGGATAGGACCGTGCCAGGTGTGTCCGAGGACGGGGATAGGACCGTCCCAGGCGTGTTCGAAGACAGGGATGGGACCGTGCCAGGTGTGTCCGAGGACGGGGATAGGACCGTGCCAGGTGTGTCCGAGGACGGGGATAGGACCGTCCCAGGCGTGTTCGAAGACAGGGATGGGACCGTGCCAGGTGTGTCTGCGGACGGGGATAGGACCGTGCCAGGCGTGTTCGAAGACACGGATGGGACCGTGCCAGGTGTGTCTGCGGACGGGGACGGGACGGTGCCCGGTGCGTCTTAAGACGGGGACGGGACCGTGCCAGGTTTGTCAGAGGACGGGAATAGGACCGTGCCAGGTGTGTTCGAGGACGGGGACGGAACCGTGCCTGTTATGTCCGAGGACGAGGACGGGACCTTGCCAGGCGTGTCCGAGGACGGGGCTGAGTCCTGCGCCTGGCCAAGGAGAGTCCAGGAGACCGGGAATCCCAACAATTACGTCGACTTGCAGGACGTTGATGATGCTATATGATGATAATGATATAATGATGATGATATATAAGGACACGTCGTTGATGATCATATATAAGGACACATCGTCTTATCCCCAAGAGCACACAGTTCAAGTTTCCTACCTTCTTCAGTTAACTGCACACTTGTCCGACGCCTGTTCAAACAATACTTGTTGCGCTCATGGGTGCTTGGTGACAAGCTGGAGAATACACGGGCCCGCTGCCGTGGGATTCGGCCTGGGACTGGACGGGCCAGTGTTGGTCCAGTCGCCGTTCCCGGTCCGTTTCTCGGCCGGAAGCAGCTCACCGCTACCGGTGTGAGGCCCTTCCCTGTCCCGGTCCCAGGTCCGGTCCGCGTCCGGCTTGGGTCCGGGTCCGGGTCCGGGTCCGGGTCCGGGTCCGGGTCCGGGTCCGGGTCCGGGTCCGGGTCTGGGTCCGGGTCCGGGTCTGGGTCCGGGTCCGGGTCTGTGTCCGGGTCCGGGTCCGGGTCCGGGTCCGGGTCCGGGTCCGGGCGCGGGTCCGGAGCCGGATCCCAGTCCCGTCCCAGTCCCGGCTCCGGACGCCGCGCCGCTCACCGCCGCCGGTGTCAGCTCCATCCCGGTCCCGGTTGGCAGCGTCGCCATCCTCCCAGTCCGAGTAGCCGCCGTCAGAATCGTCCAGGTCCGGCGAGTTGAAGTCCAGCCTGCGAGCGGCGGCCGAACGTTACCGGCCAGGACCGCGCGGCCGTCCGCGCCGTGCCGACGGCTCTCCGTCCGGTCAGGGCGAGCCGCCGGCCACGTTGCCCTGCCGCGGCTGACCCGGACCCCGCACAGATCGCTGGCGGCCGATCCCCCGTGCCCGCACTGGAGCCTGTCCGGCGCAATCGTGCAAGACTCCAGCACCGCCACTGTGACAGTCCGCGAGGCGCGGGCAAACTTCGCATCGCACGCACGCACCTCGACCTGGCGTGTCATCTCCCAATCAGACAGCCCACAGGGCTGGTTAGCCAGGGCACCTGCGGGGCGGATGGCTGCGCAGCACAGCGTCGAGTCAGCGTACAGCGAGAGCGAGAGCAGTCTAACCGGTGGATGTGTCTGTAGTCTTTCACCATGTGCTTCGGCGGCTTCGACAAGCGACCAGTTCGGGTTTTCGTCGCGGAACGCTTCCTCTCCGCTTTCTCAGCCTGAGGTAAAAAAACCGGCAAATTAACATGTGTGAAACGTCCAGAACAGCTCCAACAATAGGCAACCAGCAAACGCGTTGAAGGCATTATTCTGCTACATGACACAGCACAGCTGTGTTGACATCACCCGATCGCGCGTTTCGCGAACACGTGGCGAGCCCGCCTTCAGCTCCGGCCGCTCGCCGCCGGTCAGCTGGCGGCCGGGGCTGTTGGCTGTTTGGCTTGAGCCGGCAGGGGGCGCTGGCGCATCAGCGGACAGAGCCCGGCCTCCGGGGGCGTGCGTACCCTCGTCATCTGGTACGCACGCCTCCGGGGGCGTGTGTACCCTCGTCATCTGGTACGCACGCCTCCGGGGGCGTGTGTTCCCTCGTCATCTCTGGCCTCCGGTGGCGTGCGTACCCTCGCCATCTCTGGCCTCCGGTGGCGTGTGTACGCAAGTCATCTCTGGCCTCCAGAGGCGTGGGTGCCCTCATCATCTCTGGCCTCCGGTGGCGTGTGTACCCTCGTCATTTCTGGCCTCCGGTGGCCTGTGTACGCAAGTCATCTCTGGCCTCCAGTGGCGTGGGTACCCTCGTCATCTGGTACGCACGCCTCCGGGGGCGTGTGTACCCTAGTCATCTCTGGCCTCCGGTGGCGTGCGTACCCTCGTCATTTCTGGCGTCCGGTGGCGTGCGCACCCTCGTCATCATCTCTGGCTTCCGGTGGCGTGTGTACGCAAGTCATCTCTGGCCTCCAGTGGCGCGTGTACCCTCGTCATCTCTGGCCTCCAGTGGCGTGTGTACGCAAGTCATCTCTGGCCTCCGGTGGCGTGCGTACCCTCGTCATCTCTGGCTTCCGGTGGCGTGTGTACGCAAGTCATCTCTGGCCTCCAGTGGCGTGCGTACCCTCGTCATCTCTGGCCTCCGGTGGCGTGTGTACCCTCGTCATCTCTGGCCTCCGGCGGCGTGTGTACGCAAGTCATCTCTGGCCTCCGGTGGCGTGCGTACCCTCGGCATCTCTGGCCTCCGGTGGCGTGCGTACCCTCGTCATCTCTGGCCACCAGTCGGCGTCGGCGTCGTCGACCGTTCTGCGCGGTCGGCCGGCGCCTCTGGGCCGGCCCCTGCCGCGGCCCCGGCCACCGCCGGCCCGACCCACGTCGTCCGGATACACCACCCTGTGGCAGCGGCCGGCCGCAGCGTCAACACACGTCAGGCGCCGCCGCCAGAGGGAAGACAACAGGCCGGCGTCAGGGACCAGATGCGTCACAGTTGACTCTATTTCAGTGGGCCAATGAGAGAGGTTTCGGTGCTGCAAATTGCAGACTCGATTTCAGTGCGCCCAAGGGCGGCGCCCCGATGTTGTCATCTACCGTGGCAGCCTATTTGCTAGCGACTGCAACAACAGAACAGAAATTCGCGCACTCGTGCCCACAGGCTGAGCAGGATTTGTACGTGCGGCATGTCGCGCGCGCGATTTACCTGTACACGACGCGCGTGTTTGTGTCGGCGTCGTACAGGCTGTTGCGCGCGTGACTCGGCACGTTTAGCCTGCTCTGCTGGAGCACGGCGGCGATCTGCTTCAGCTGCTCGGCGCTCAGTGGCTGTAGCGACTTGAACGTGTTGCCTTGCTGGACTAGCTGGATGGGGTTGTTGCTGGAGCCGGGCGGCCGTGAGCACGGCGCTGCTCCGCCGCCGCCGCCGCCGCCGCCGCCGCCGCTGTCCTCGGACGCCTCCAGCGGTCGCACCAGGATGCGCAGGCCCGGTCGCGGCTCGATGAAGTCCGGCAGCTGCTCCTCGCCGTTCATCGGCGTCAGGATCACCGGCAGGTCATCGTCATCCTCGTCGGGCTGAGGCGTCGAGGAGGGCGCGCCGCCGGCTGCAGCCGCATTTGCAGTCACAGTCGCAGTCGCACCCGTAGCCGCAGCCGCAGCCGCAGTCCCGGCCGCAGTCCCAGTTGCAGTCGCCGCCGCCGCTGCGCTCGTCGTCTTCTGTCCAAACCCAGAGGGGTAGGGATGGGTCAGACGCGTCCGGGCGCGGGTCGCTGACGCGGGGCCCCGTCGTCAGCTGACCAAGGACATCCGCGGGGTCACATGGATCACATTGGACCAGGCGCCCACACGTATACACGGCCATGACATTCCACACACGGGGGTTATACATGTACGACAGGTGGAAACCAGGTGGCCAATGCCTTCCGATGCCGTGACGCTGGTATGTTCGGCCGGCTGCGTCTCTGGAGCCGGCCGGCGGAGTCCGCCTCACCTCCTGCACAGAGCTGGCCGTGTTGATGACTGTCTTGTTCTTGCTCTTCACAGCGTTCGGCCCCGTGTTGTACACCGGTCCCCGCTTGACCTTAGCCGCCGAAAGGTATCCCCCAGTCACTGGGTCCCTGGGCACCGGCGCCGACGGTGTGGTGGTCCGCAGCACCTGGCAACCGGCGGCACGGGGTTACAGCCAGACATACAGCCGCCAGTGTTGAACTGCAGCCCGACATACAGCCGCCAGCACGGGGCTACAGCCCGACATACAGCCGCCAGTGTTGAACTGCAGCCCGATATACAGCCGCCGGCAAAGAGCCACAGTCCGACACACAGTCACCGGCATAGGGCTACAGCCCGACATACAGCCGCCAGCACGGGGCTACAGCCAGACATACAGCCGCCAACACACAACAAACCCACGACAGCGCTCGTTGGGTAATGCTTTGAACAACATACTGTGGGGAAACACAGTAGGGAAACAACGTAGGGAAACACAGTTGCTTCACTCTCGCAATGTCAGGACGGCATCAATACGCCACGTATAGGCCAACACGACTGATGTTATGACAATCATACCACACCAATCAGCAACCACACTGCCCAACGTGCCATGTGGCGAACGTCCACCACATTTTAGCTTTGCTGCTGCTGAATCTGATGCGCTCAATTGCGTAGCCGTCCTGTGGATCTACCGCTGGATCTGAAGGGCTCACCTGCACAGCCGTCATGTGGATCTACCGCTGGATCTGATGGACTCACCTGCACAGCCACCCTGTAGAATCTGCTGCTGAATCTGATAGGCTCACCAGTGCAGCCATCCTGTGGATCTGCTGCTGGATCTGACTGGCTCACCTGCACAGCCATCCTGTGGATACTGCTGCTGGATCTGACGGGCTCACCTGCACAGCCGTCATGTGGATCCTGCTGCTGGATCTGACTGGCTCCACCTGTGCAGCCATCCTGTGGATCTGCTGCGGGATCTGACTGGCTCACCTGTGCAGCCATCCTGTGGATCTGCTGCTGGATCTGACTGGCTCACCTGTGCAGCCATCCTGTGGATCTGCTGCTGGATCTGACTGGCTCACCTGTGCAGCCATCCTGTGGATCTGCTGCTGGATCTGACTGGCTCACCTGTGCAGCCATCCTGTGCTGCTGGATCTGACTGGCTCACCTGTGCAGCCATCCTGTGGATCTGCTGCTGGATCTGACTGGCTCACCTGTGCAGCCATCCTGTGGATCTGCTGCTGGATCTGACTGGCTCACCTGTGCAGCCATCCTGTGGATCTGCTGCTGGATCTGACTGGCTCACCTGTGCAGCCATCCTGTGGATCTGCTGCTGGATCTGACTGGCTCACCTGTGCAGCCATCCTGTGGATCTGCTGCTGGATCTGACGGGCTCACCTGTGCAGCCATCCTGTGGATCTGCTGCTGGATCTGACGGGCTCACCTGTGCAGCCATCCTGTGGATCTGCTGCCGGATCTGACGGGCTCACCTGTGCAGCCATCCTGTGGATCTGCTGCTGGATCTGACTGGCTCACCTGTGCAGCCGTCCTGTGGATCTGCTGCTGAATCTGTCGCGCATCACCGGCACGCACGCGCGGCGTCATGATCTCGCGCGTCTTGGCCAGCAGGCCGGGCATGCCGACGGGCCGGTCAGCGTCCACTGGCGCCGCGTCCTTGTCGTCGACGACCTCGAACGTGTACGTCACCTGGCCACCAGGAGATCGGCGTCGTTACCGCAGACACGAGGCTTTGTCGCCGGCAACACCGGGCGCCTGCCTGCCTCATCGGCCAGCCGCCGCTACTTCATGCTGGAATACAATCGAGAATCGGCCGATCGAGGCACAGCCTACACTGTACGAGCTGTAAGGCGTGGCAAGGCGGGCACTGTACGACCCTGTCGCCAGTGATGCCCCGGCCCAAGCTGCGTCCACCCCGCTGGCAGGCCACAATGGACCTTCGGAGCGAGCCAGGAAAGCAGCCAGCGGGCGGCTGCGCTGGCCCGTAGAGCGCCGTCTGATGACGGTCAGGCAGCACACAGGGCCGGCGGCGCCACCGGATCACACGGCCTCAGCCGCTGGGCGGCCCAAGCCCGGCGCCCACCTTGTGACCGCCCACCGACTGGTCCACCAGGCTTGGCTGCTCGTTGAGGTCCAGCACGACGGAGGAGGCGAGCGAGGCCACCTCCTGGGCGGTGCTCCGCTCGCCGACCGACGGCCGCCGCTCCCGCACAGGCTCCGGCCCCAAATCGGCCACCTCCTGCGGGTCACGCAACCGTAAACACAGCATCCGACCTGAGGCCTATTTGTAGCAACACAGCGAGATCCCGCGGCGCCTGGGCCGCCTGTTGGCAACAGTAGCCAGGCGGATGTTGCGCCCGCTGGTCAACGTGGAGTCGGCTCCCGTACCGTATCGATGGGCGCTGCAGCGGCGGCCAGCAGCTGCTGGTAGTCGATGCCGAGCGCGGCGGCCTGGCTGGGCGTGAGGTGCACTGTTTGCTGCTGGCCGGCCTCATCCTGTAGCACGGCCAGCACGCCCTCCCCATCCTCCTCCAGCGGTTCCTCGTCCCCCACCTCTGCTGACACACCACAAACACAGGATCAGCAACCACTATGTCTGTGCCATTATGCCATTATGCCATTCATGACATCCATGCAGTGAACATGGGTGTGGTCCATGGATCCAGGGTTAATACCGCATGCTTGCTCTGTAGATCTAGCAAACTCTGGACACTCTGGCACAGCTCTCATCATTCCACAGTCAATTAAATAACTTATAAAATACTTGAAAAGCACACATCAGCAGGGAATGCTATTGCAAAGCAAATGGCAAACTTGATCACCCAGTCAGGCAGTGCATGCCAGAGGGGCTTACCCAGCCTCTGTGCATCCTGAATCATATCACTGGCTGGCTCAACCTCCCCTCTGTCATCAGCCAGCTGCACCAGTGCCTGCTGCAGCACATCCTCGCTGATGTCGCCGCCACCCTCCAGGCCCTCCAGGTACACTGCCTGGCCATCCACCAGGAACATGCGCTGGCTGCCAGTCATGGCAGTTGCGCTGCCAACAGCGCAGCCAGTGCTGTAAACCCTTGCAGGCTGCTGCACCTGGCAACAATTACCTAGGTTGCAGTGCACTGCATGACTAGCAGTGTCAGGGCCTGGAAAACAGTGCACCATCCAGGGAATCAGCAAAATACATTGGGAGGCAGTTCTACAAAAATTACTTCTCCAACAATTAAAATCAAGGTGATATGAATAACAATACATCACTAAGCCATAAGCCAAAAACCAAAATCAAGTGTGCAAACTTATATCAGGTAAAATTTAAGTTAATGATAGGGAGCAGACTGGTCCAGCAAAAGGGAAGAGATGACCTTGTCACAATTCTAGAGTGATGAAAAAGCCAACCTTCACCACATTTTGCTAAATTCTGACAATTTGAAGTACACATGGAACTCTCCAACCCTGTTTGCTACTCAACATGGTGGATTTTTCAGTGCTTAAGTATAGCATGGCATGCCTCTTTTGCCATGAGTGTCAGTTTGAACATATCAATAAGCACAAGTACATGGGGACCAAATGTTAAGTATATCATTGGCTAATGTATGTGAGCTTAGTTGCAGTTTGATATTTACATTCAGATTCCTAAACAAATTTTCAATACTTATATCTACCTTAGAACATATTCCATAAGTAGGAAGCATATATGTCCATTTGAACCCCTATGTGACTGAATACAGGCAAAGTTTAACTTTGTGGTCCCTTCAGCAGCCTGCCACCACCTTGAAACAAAATGCCTTAACTCTCAGGAAGGCTCTATATCAGCTGCTTACCAAATATCCATTATTATGTTGTTACCATTTATCTAGAAGCACCAAAGCAAGAATAGGTGGCAAATACATGTCAAGCATAGAACACAAAAATATGAATGTTATGTCAAATAAAATTTGCACTAAGTTTGACTCTTGTATAAAGTCACATGTTTCTTGATTCAAAAGTATGAGGATAGGGTGTGGGAGTTGATTTTAGAGTATATAGATGAGGGCCTGGGGTTCATTTGGGCCATTGTGTTGGATCACAATTATCTGAGGAAAGGCTAAACAGGAAAACAGGCAAAACCTGACTAAAAATTTACTAAAAACCTGATGACCCCAAAAACTGACCCACCTTCCCTCCAAAACACATGGTAACTGCATCTAATCTTTGTCTTTATGATATGTTACATGTTAGACATGATAAAGCTATACCGTGATTCATGGTGACATGCATACATATAGCCTGTAGGTATCAGGAAATAGACAAGGGAAGGGCTAAAACAGCAGTGTCCCCCCCCCTCCCAGACAAGGAGTTAACATAAGATACTAGGTGATCTTGCAGGATTTTTTTAACAAACTGGCATGATGTTGGAGAACATATGGTATTTCCCTGGGGTAAATTTAGAGTATATGCCCAGTCAGCTATGATCATATGACATGCAATGTGTACATTGACTCTCCCCCTTCTCTCCCACACCTAGCTAAAAAAAATAGGTACAGTAGAAGCTGGTTGAGTGATCATCGACATTTGTACCTGACGTTGCAAAGGCACGTTTCACACCAATCGGTAGAGATGTGACATTAAATACCATAAATCATCATAAAGGATCAATATCTGAGTGACATATCATGACCTTACCTTCAAACTTTGTATTACGATGATGAGGGGACACGCCGGCCCGTAACGCTGATTCCTCAACACTTAATACATACATACGAATATACAGACATTATAAATCAAGGTCATCCCGCCGGATCAAGGCCAGCGTTTTCTTTTTGACGGTGGCGCTTTTACGTAGCAGTCGTAGCTAGGTCGTGGCGGCTAAATATGATGTTTCGTGTGATAGAAATATGACGTAGGAAAGTGGTGTATGCCGGATGCCCAATTCATACTTAAAGTGCAGTAAACTGCAAATAAACAACTAAAGCCATATATTTGAAGCCCAGCGAGCGATAGCCACTAGGCGCTACATCTGTACTTTGAATAACATTTTGTATGTTTATGAAAGAGAATTGGGTGGCCTTCTACCCGCACAATACTAAAAGAGTTTATCTGCGGATTTTCTTTTGAACTAACAAGTGTTTTGCTTAATGCGTTACTTCAACTTAACATCAGTGCGAGACCCCATGAACTGGAGTATCCCGAGCTTTAAGTGTGGTGCAGCACCGCTAACCAGGGAATTTCTCGTTTTTTCACGGCATTTCAAAACCTATGAGCTCTAAACGTTACCGGATATCAAGTCAATCGAGATAAAAGATAAGTAAGGTGGCCTAACGTATTGCGATCGATATAAGTCTGTTTAGTATGAATGTACACATAACTCGAGTATTATGTTTGTCGACAAATATCGAGTAACCCTTTACGACCTCTGAAGATCAAACCACTGGATACCCTACAAAAAGGGTGGGGAGCAAGCAGCAGTTTGATATTCATGTTTAGCAGAATTAGCCAACCCCTTCGATTGCAATGAAACTTACACCAAAGATAGCCCAAGGTGTACGGACATATTACGGACCGCAATGTGAGGCAGCGATTGGTTTGACCTCCAGATGTCATAAAAGTCACCCGTTAAATGTCGACAAACAATATGCATGTCACATATCATTCGATCCGGCATTAAGATGGAGTACATTTTTTTTTAAAGTCCTTACCCAAGCATATTGAAGGACAGCAGACTTTCTTATACACCTATGAGTTTTCGTGTATTACAATTTCCCCACAAACTTCGACACGCGACACAACGAACTGGAGTCTCCACCCGATCGATTGTCTTTAAAATCTCCACCTATCTGGACCATCCAAGATAGCGAGGGCACCTCTTGGTTTTTCACGGGGTACCACAAACTGTGACCTAAAGAGGTCACCGCACACTAGATCGGTATTCCCCATCGACAAATATACCACGGGATACCGGATGATCAGCGCAAACTGATATGTTGAAGCCGATTCAAACCTGTTGTGATAGAATGCGCACACCAAATGCATCAAAGTTTCCAGAACAAAAATAAGTTAGCCAAACCCGGGATGAAGTCCGGTCAGGCCATGTGGTAACTTTGCGCAGGCAAGCATAAATGACACATCTGCAGCCAATAATGCAAAAGCGAGTTGAAGGGTGCCCATTGCGGTATGGAATGGCGCTGAACTCAAAATGTTAACTTATAAATGTCTGGAAATAATCAGCTTCTGGCGCCATGCATTATTTCCCGTCGACTTTCACACAGGGCCCTGCCACCTGGCAACTTCTGATCAAGACCGCTGACTAGTACCGGTAGCCCGCTGAGGGGAGTTGCGCGCTGGCGGGTGCCGGCGGCCTGCTGAGGGGAGGAGTGGTGCGCTGACATGTGCCGGCGGCCCGCTGAGGGGAGGTGCGCGATGACAGGTGCCGGTGGCCTGCTGAGAGTAAGTGTGTGCTGACAGGTGCCGAGTTCCAGCCCGCTGACGCGGGTGCTGACTGGTTACTGACAGGTGCCGGTGGTCCGCTGAGTGGAGGTGTGGTGCGCCGACTGGTGCCGGTAGCCTGCTGATGGAGATGTGCGCTGCCTGGTACCGGCGGCCCGCTGAGGGGAGGTAGCTGGACCGTCTCATCCGACATGATGGGTGGATAATGCGTGGTGTAAAAGCGGCCAAACCGGCCTTTGCGAAAGATGGAGATGGCCCGCGTGGTTAAACGAGTATCTTTCAATGACAAAATAATAAAACCCTTCTCGTTTTTTTTTTTGCGAAAATTTACCTCGTGACACCATTTTATCACCGAAAGGCGCCCATGCCTAGACCCTGGTCACATGACCTCTAAACAGCGTTCTCCATAAGCGTCTGACATTTGCGCTTGTCAGGAGGAACAGCCGGGAGGGACAACCCAGCTTCAGCGGCGCCGACGCACAACGGCAGCAGACCGCACAGCCTCCCTTGGCCGCCGAGCCGCTAAGGAATGCTGCGAATAACAACAGGAGAATAGTGGTGATGCAACAAACTCGCAGCACGGCTGCAGGGCGCTGGCCGACGACACACGAGCCATTGCAGTTCCCTGGGCTCCACAGCGCACGCGTGTGCCCGCTAATGCCAGGTGACCTTGTTCCGTTGGCATTTTCTGAACAAGGCAGCTCTGCGATGACTAATGCCTCAGAGATCTTCCTCCAAAAATGAAATACATTCGCCGAGTGTGCTTTGTGAGAATGAGGGGAATTTCTCCTGTGGGATTCTTGCGAATTAACGAATGCTTCACACGGTGCTGCTGGTATAAATCGCTCATCCAGAGCACCGAAAACAGGCAGTCTGGCCAAAATATTTCGTCCTGCAGTTAAAAACAAAGATTCCATGGTCTTTTTATGACAGGGGCAGATCATGGAACAACGACAAAAGATAACCAAAGCATGACTTTCAGTGACTTATTTGATACATGCCAGGCCACTACCCATACAGAGCAGTACACAGTTTAAGCCCGCCAGCCGTCAACCCGGACTCTCGCGCGCGCCGAGCTGAGAACCTCGTCACACGCGGCGGATGGTCAGAGCTTCACCCGTCCAAGCTTCGATCACGCACATGTCACCGGCGCCCGGCGCAGCAGGCCGCCACAGCGCACAGTTCACGCGGCGGCGGACGCTTGCACGCGCTCGCGACCGCAGGCGGGCACGGGAGCGGGGAGCGGGCCGCGGGCCGCGCCCGGCCGGCGCCCGGTGTCCTGAGTGTTGCGCCACGGCCGGCACTCCCGGCGCGCCGCTGCGGCGCGTGAGACGCCGCGCGCCCGCTCAGATCGCTCCCGGCGCCACCCACTTAAACTGCGGCCGGCCGGCCGGCTGCGGTGGCGTCGGGTGGCTGAACAGGCACGACGGGTTGGTGCAGGCGTCCGCGTACCGGCACATCTGAAAGAGGGTCGAGTGGCGATTCACACATCCAGATCATTGGAAAAGCTGTTTCCAGGAAGCAGTCATGACAGCTTGCCTATGAAAGGTTTGAATGCAAAGAAATGTCACTGACGACATGTGGGTATCCGTTATCTAGAACAGCAATCGTATATAGCAGAATGATCCCACAACCTAAGCTTGAGCGGGAGCCGATTACAGTCTCACTTGAACGCTGCACTGGCGACACTTCTGTCTCACCTTGGGATGAATAAAGGGGCAGCTGGGGTTGGTGCAGTTAGGAAAGAACTTGCACTCCGCTACCATCGAGACAGCAGCCGTGTGAGGCGGGGGCCGGGCGCCGACCCCACTCGCTGCAAAACATCCACCGCGTCAGGCATGACCACCATCAGGCCCGAACAGCCGCCACCAGCCACAAACTCAGTCCTCATCCACGGAGGGTTAGTGGTACTTGTGAACACTGCCGACCCGTGTTGTAACCAAGTCCTGCGCTCACACCGTCAGGCAGCCTTTTCATAGCTTACGTGACGTGTGCGATGGTGGCAGGTATGCCGCGGACCTGCAGCTGGCGGCGGGGGCTGTGTATGCGTGATGCCGTCAGGTATGTCGCGGACCTGCGGCTGCAGCTGCAGCCGCAGCTGGCAGCCGCGCCGCTGCACTGCAGGCGGCTCTGCGGAGCTGTGTGTGTATGATGGTGGTAGGTATGTTGTGGATCTGTAGCTGCAGCCGCAGCTGACAGCCGCGCCGCCGCACCTCAGGTGGCTCTGCGGAGCTGTGTGTGTATGATGGTGGTAGGTATGCTGTGGACCTGTGGCTGCAGCCGCAGCTGACAGCCGCGCCGCTGCACCGCCGGCGGCCCTGCGGGGCTCACCGATCGCGCTGGCCGGCGCCACGGACGGCCGCGCGCCGCTGTGCGAATACCGGCAGTCGGCCCGCCAGCAGCTGCCGTCAAACTTGCAGCGCGGGTGGATGTAGAGACAGGTGTCACCAAACTTGCAGGCCGGGAACGTCCTGCGGGCATGGCCCAGCGTCAGCCGCGCGATAGAGCACAGGGCTAACAGAGGCCACAACGATCGACTCGGCGCCGGCGCGGCGAAGGAAATGGCGACTTGGCAGCCATGATGGAACTCACGTCAACACCCACAAAACGTTGACCTAATTACGATACAAGCCAAGATGGGGTGCCAGAGCTGATGGACCGGAAGCTATCGGCAAACAGGACCCTAGCATGCGTTGGGCACTGTTATACGGTTTAATAATTCGTATCATGTTGGGCATATCCATTTACGCTGGCATACCACCGGTTGCCTGGGTAGCAGCAGTCGACTTTCAAGCCGGTAGTATGCTGGACTGCGGTGCTGGTAATGGCACACTCACTTGCAGGGTACGCTGGGGTGATGGTACAGGCACTCCGCGCCGAGTCTGCAGGAGGGCCAAAACCGGCAGCGAGCGGGTGGCTTCTGGGCGGGCGGCGGCTCCGGCTCCGGCTCCGGCTCTGGCTCCGGTGGCGGCGCAATCACTGTGGGGTTCGGTTCGTCTCGCGTCACGTGCCGGTACAACAGCAGTTGTTCAGCTGAGTTGCACACCTGTACAACAATCATTTGAACATGCTACCCGCCGAATCTGCACACCCTCCCAGAGCCTTGACATGTCTCGGTTTTGGTGACGTCACTAGAAGGGCTTGTCCCCGGTGAAGCAAACGGTTTGTCCCCAGCGTAACAAGCCGTTTGTCTGCAGCGTAACAGACGTTTCGTCTCCAGCGTAACAAACCGTTTGTCTGCAGCGTCACAGACGGTTTATTTCCAGCGTAAAAAACCGTTTGTCTACCGCATCA